TGGCAGCCCAGCTCCAGGTTGAGCTGTTGTTCAGCATCTTAGCTGTAGAGGGCAGTGTCACTGGCCCTCATATGTGGGATCCGAACCGGGGCCCTCTGTCATCCCAAGCCAGCTCTTAACCACCATGCCACTCGGCCGGCCCTGAAAACTCTTTTAAATAGTTGATGGCCTGTCATGACCTTTTCCAGCTGATTTTCTTGCCTTTGCTCTCAGTTTGGAATCTCCAGAGGGGCAAGTGACCTTCCTGGGCTCTGGTTTCCTAAAGCAACCCCACAGCCGGGCTTTTCTGGGTTGATGGATTTTAGGATGCCCCCTAGATTGGGTGATTCTGCAGTAGCCAGAAGTCAGTCTAGGGCATTGATTTCAGTGGAATTTCAGCTGACAAAATATTGTGACTCATTTTCTAGAGCAGGGGTTGGCAAACTTTTGAGACAGAAGAACTGCCAGGGGTTAGCAAGCTGCAGGAGCCGCAGACTCTGAAGTAAAATTGAAAGTGAAAATAAAACTATCATAGTTTCACTTGTAAAATTTTTAAGGATATTATTCACATAATGGTGACTATGTAAAAATATATTTATGCCTCTTGAATACTTTTTAAATTGTTGTGAGGGACAGGATTGGCTCTTCCAGGGGTTGGCAAACTTTTGAGACGGAACATACCCGAAGAGCCACATGTGGCTCGCGGGCCGCAGTTTGCCGACCCCTATTCTAGCGCCTTTGGTGCCATAAGGCTGACCTCTCAGAATCCCAGGAGGGTGTAGTGTCTTGATTTTGGGTTCCCACATTAGCAATGGGGAGAGCACAGGTTGCACAGTGCCCCCAAACTCTATCACTTGTGTTCCAAAATCAGCAAGAAATAGCTTTGTCAATCGGGGGTGGATAAGGTATAGTGAGGGGTCTGCAGATAGAGGAAAAAGTTCTACAAATTTATAGACCATAAAAAATTTCATCCCTTCTCCCCTGAATATTGATTAAAATTAGACTTAAATTTTCTATAGGTTGTTTGTTGCCCCCAAGGCTGGTCACCACTGTGATAAGTAGATGAGAATCAGTGATATCTACATGATCGACCCTAAATTCCTTGGTTCAGAAGGTGCTGTAAACAAGTGGTTCTCACATATAGATTGCCTGGACCAAGAAACTATCAAAATAAAAAGATTGGCAGGGTTGGCTTAAGGCTACCAATTTTTTATTTTTACGAGGAATGTTTTTCAAAATCTAATATCCATCAACACAATTTCATAACAGAAAGGACTATCTTGACGCTAAAATAGAAGGAAGGAGATAAGAATAAAACATAAATCTTTTACATTGAAAACAATCAGCTTTAGGAAGACTGTATAAACTGTGTTTATTTTTCTGACATCACCTTTGAAAATACATCCAGGATAGGTGCTGCCTTGCCATCCATAACAAGTATTGGGAAGAAGAGGAGATACCTGTTTAATGCACAGCTATAGTGGGGGTGGGGGTGGGAGAATC